CTCCAAAAAGCTGTTTTCAAAATTTTCAATCAATTACTCACAAAATTTCAAAACAACCCAAATTTATATTCATGTCCAGACACAACTCAAATTTAAAGTACCATTTCCAGTTGAAATTTTTTTTCACCTTTTTTTGGTATTACAATTCTTATGTCCAAACGCCCACCGAGATATACAAATACTATAATGTAAGGATTGTATACAAGGATTAATAATTACTGAATTATTTGGTTCATAAGTTCTTCCCGGTGAATATTAATTCATGATATAAAAGTTTATGACTTTCTTGTTTTTTTAAGTAAATAATAAATGAAATAGATGCAATCTATGTTATTTTGGTCTTTTAAATATTTATCTAGTAAAGCTAATCTTATACAAGTTATATCGTGTTGGATCTGGTATAAATAATATGAACATTGTGGGTTGAAATTGTACTTGATGTTAAATAACACTAATAACTACACATTAGTCCTAAGCAAAGTAGGATTAACGATATAAATCTTCAATTGTTTTTAAGCTCAACCCAAATTTTTATTATGCCAAAAATAATAAAATAGGAGTAGCAGCAAGAATAAATTAAATATGAATATAAATAATAGTCATAATAATAATAATAATAATAATAATAATAATAATAATTCTTTAAAATTTAAAGTCTATTCCAACTAGTAAGTATCAACAATATGAATCTTTTTCTTTCATTGTACATTATATATCTTTAGATAGTCTTGCATTGACTCTAAGGATTTGTAGGTGATCTTTTGAGACAACTTCCTTTCATGTGATTTCAGGTCTACCTCATCCCTTTTTAACACATTTCCTCACGAGTGATTTTATTTTGTACCCCACACAACTTACACTAGTTGTGTGAGGCCTCTTTTTATCTCACATATTTGTGGGCCCATATCTTATACATTTGGGTCCACAAAATTCTAGGACCACACAGTTGTGAGACAAAAAAGAGGCCTCACACGACTAGTGTCAGTTGTGTGAGGCACAAAATAAAAAATTTCGGTCTACCTCGTCTCTTTTTAATACATTTACTCACCATAGGTTCACACATACATACCTATGTCTCTGTAGGGCGACATAAGATATGATTAAACAATCTCAAGCGACCTTCTCTCATTTTATCTTTAATGTGTTCTGCTTGCACCTTTTATGAATGTGTTTAATCTTGTATGACTGCGCATCCATCTTAGCATCTTCATGATCACTGATCAATATAACATTACGGGTCTTATATAAATTGTAGCTGGTGTTGCTTATCTGAATATCTGGAAACAAAATGCTCGCCAAATTCAGTGTTCTACTCCATGTGTCTACATCTAATAGACAAAGAACGTGTAAATCACATGCCTCATAGTTGTTCCTGGACCTGAACTCCATTAGATATAGATATAGAGAAACTAAATGCACTCCATGAAAAAAATTTGTTTGAAATACTATTTACTGGAATGCATACTTGTACTTCAATCTTATGAAGCGGATCTAGAATTTGAATATTATAATTTCAAGTTCGAAATTTTGCTGCAACTCATTTGATTTATGGGGATCAAACTCTATCACTTGTATTTATTTAGTGAAATTTTTAATGCAGGGTATGACTCAAACCACATAATTCAAATGAACTTGTAAGTCTTTAACTACATCCTTCCTTACAAACAAGAGGTTCAAACTGGAAATAATTTTCGTTGATTAATATTTTACTATGCTCTACCCCATTTTTGCAGTTAGATCAAGAAAAACATTTTGATCGAAATCCAAAACAATTACACCACATTATAGATTTTAATTATTTTATTTTTTTATTTAGTTGGATATGATCTTCTACTCTTATTTATTACTCATCATCTTCTCACCGGATTAGTTAGAACAAAAAAGGAAGGACAGATAATGGCATGTAAAATATCTGCCACAGCTACAAACTAAAAAAGGCTAATTACAAGACACACATATAAATCACAGTGCTACAACGTAACGTCTTATAATAAATACTCAGTACAATTTAGCTATGGAGGAAAACTTATTGTATTAATATTCCCCTCCTCCATTTGTTGTTAACCTTTTTGTTCTATATTCTGTTGGCTCCACCTACAACTGGAGCCTCCTCTTGTAATAATTTTAATGTAAAGGCGAACATATGCAATGCCGAGAGGGGTCACTGGCACCCAAAAATTCCATGTATACATGTATATATCTTTAATAAATAGTGATATATTAGTAGTGGGTACCCTACATACAAAGCAGATTTTGATTGAATCCAAAAGTGCACCCCCGACCTTCAAATCCTGGGTCCACTTCAGCTATAAGGTAATATATAATTTTAACTCTTTTTTTTTTTTTTTTTTATATAGATATAATGGTGGTATTCAGATTAACTCCACGCACTTGGACTAATTCCACCAGCTATTTGTTACGTTCGACCAACACAAATACCGAATATAATATTAACTTTTTAAGGACAAAAAAAAAGGAGGTCACGTTCTATATAAACTTATGGCGTGTTTTCCCCACTCTCAATTTGCTCTCCAGTAGGCTTAGTTTAGCAATCCTTGTCCCAGGATGAAGTGTACAAGCACTATCAATATGTAAACTCCTCATTAATCTTGGGTGGTTTCACTAAAATAGCATATTTAGAGATGCATTTACCCCCTTTTCAATTATTCAACTAATTCTTTCAAGTCACAAACTTTAGCCTTCCAATAATCGTCAAGTGTGATTAGGCTTACTACGAAACTTCTCCATAGTAGTGTTCGCTATTGAAAAGAAATTACCCTTCTTACAAGTTCCCACTTTTGCAAAATTTAAAGAAGAATTTTTCTTAATAAGTTAGTGTATATGGTTCTTTATTGTAATATAGAATAGCATCACATATATAGCACATGTAATAGTTAGTTAGTCATGCGCTTCTTTCTTCTTTCTGTTAATGACAGATGTTAATGAGCTGTCAATTGGGTTAGCTTAAGTTAATGGTAGTTAGGTGTAGAAAATGTACTGATCTTCTTCTTCAGTAGAACAATTGTTCATTTCTTCTTAAACGTCTCTCTCTTCTCAGAGCTTCTCCCATTGTTACCCCTTCAAATCCTTGCATTTTATCATTCTTTAATATGGGATATTTATAAGAATGTCCACATAGAATTTGATCACCAATTTAGAAATTGCTCTTCTTACAAAGTTTCCACTTTTGTAAAATTTAACCAAGAATTTTCTTTAATAAGTTAGCGTATCTGGCTCTTTAATATGGGATGTTTATAAAAAAAGCCCACATAGAATTTGATCACCAATTTGCCTAAGTTGTACAATAAAAGATTTTTCTTAGTTTTAGTTTACATATACACCTATATGCAATCTTTTGGTAGATATTTGGAATTTTGGTTCTCCGAGTGTATTACTTTCTTCTCTCCCTTTCTTTTTTTTTTTTTTTAACTTCATTTTAGTTGCCATCAGTTTCTATGAAATGGGATTAGTTAAGTCTACAAAATTGACAATTCCTTTCTTTTCATTTCTTAAGCACAATACTATTATGACAGGAATATACAAACTCAGAATTCAGAAAGGAAACCAAGGATGTTGTCATTTACTTTCACAATATTCAATGTTCTCATTGTCCTATTTGAATTGTTGGCTCATTTTTATTAATTTATAATTAAAAGCATGCTTAAGGGAGCTTACACTCAAAACAAGATAGACAAGGCTCCTTAATCATTCTGTTTAACCTAAGGTTGACAGCTTCCAAACTCCCGAAAATATCTTGGACGAGTCATCCCACTAATACATTTTCTGTCAACAACTGACCTAATTAAACAATACTTGGTTTAACTTTTTCCGTTTATTGTGAGGAATAGCACCTTTCCTCTTTTCTTTTTCTTAAGTGAGTTAATACCCTAAAACCCCCTTAAACCATTATATTTTTGGCAATTTTTTATTTAAACTATTCGGTGTCCCCAAAATTTTCCGAACTATATTGTTGTTGTATTAAAACCCTCTTGTCGCTAACCTGGCATAACAAGTGTAAATACTCGCTTGGAAGCGCGTGACAACTGAAAAAAGCCATCAAAATAGCCCACCTAACAGAAAATAATGGCTAATCAGCCTAACCCTCTTTCAAATTTATTTTTTGTAATAAATATTCTTCTTATTTCAGTTATATCCATCTTTCTTCCTCATTTTTCACCATTCTTCCTTATTTTTTCTTTTATCTTTCTTCTTTGTTTTTCACCTTCTTCTTTATTTTTTTACCTTCTTTCTTCAGTTGTCCATATGGGTTTCCTCTGAAATTATTTATTCTCTTTCTTATTTTAGTCTTCTTTCATGTCTTACACATATTGTTGAAAGAATACCAATTTAAATCTTCGTATTAAACTCAACACTCTATAAAGAATAAAGTCGAATCTCTTAAACCTTCTTTATGTAATATGAAATTAGAGAATGTAATTGCTGGGCAATTAATTTTTTATTTGCGAATTTTATTTTGTGTAATCTTTTTTATGTAATATAAGATGACTTTTATGAAATGCAATATTATATGCCTTTATTTATATTATTATTGTGCTATATAAAATATAGTTCAGGGGAGTTTTGAGGACACCAGATAGTTTAAGTAAGTAACTGACAAAAAAATAATAGTTTAGGCGGGTTTTAGGCTAAGTTAAATAGGCATGTGTAGTGCTACATGGCACGATTTTTAGACAATTAGGAGCGCGTACTAGATGCACCTCTAAGAATGCAACTGGGGAGGAGGGGGGTTAGGTTAATATGAATGGCAATATAGTTCAGGGGGTTTTGGGGACACCGAATAATTTAAATAAAAAACTAACAAAAACTTAATAGTTTAGGGGGGTTTTAGGGTATTAGCTCTTCTTAATTTAAGTTGTTTGAAAAAGGAAAAAAAAGAAAGAAAGGAAGAAGCAATTCACTTTCCTTGGATATTCAAATATAGAAAACAATATCTGGTGAGAGAAGCTCTCCTTCTCTCTAACTTCCCTTCCAAATTAACCTCATCTTCATTCCATGTCCCAACACACTCTAGACCCTACCCTAATGGACATATCTATACCTCCAAATCCTCCAGATCCATTGGCTGATGCTAGATCACTAGCAGATGAGAGATTGCCCTCTTTCAAGGATAAACTCTTATCCCCAGACCCAATAAAATTTATTCATGGACAACACGTTTCCTCTTTCCCCATTACTAATGATTGCTATGAGGCCTTGCCTGCGACTCCTCTTCAAGATGATTCAACATCCAGAGATCATGCTATTGTTCTCTCAACCGAGGAATTGCAACGTCTATATAAACCATGGAAGTTCTCGGTTATTATCAAATTATTTGGTAAGCGTATCCTTCATCAATATCTCAAAAAGAAGCTTCATGAGCATTGAAAACCTACAGAACAATTTCCTCTCATTGATCTTGGTAATGATTTCTATATTGTTAAATTTTTTCAAGAAGCCAACATGGCCAAAGCTCTTCATCAAGGATCATGGTTCATCAATGATCGTTATTTATCAGTTAAAAAATGGGTCCCTAATTTTGTTGCTTCTACGAAAAATTAAACATCTCTGCCATTTGGTTAAGACTACCCCAACTCCCTATGGAGTTTTATGATAGTACCATTCTTACTAAAATTGGTAATAAAATTGGCAAGCTCTTAAAAATAGATGCTTGCACCTCCGCTACTTTAAGAAGTAGATATGCTAGACTATGTGTTGAATTACCTCTAGAACACCCTGTCCGCCCCTTTATCTATATAGGTTCTCATAAGCACCCTATTCACTATGAGGGAGAAAATTTTCTCTGTAAAGGGTGCGGTAGATTAGGTCACACTAAGTCCAATTATGGCTACGTCTGTAAAGATCCTCCCACAAATGGTTCTTCTCCGAAATCTACAGGAAATCCCTCTACTCACATTGAGGAGGACCAATGGAAGGTGCTTTCCTTCTCCAAATAAAAAGATCAACACGTTAAAGACAATTTGCACTCAAAAGCTTCCACAAAGAATGCCGACACTAAGGATGGCTTTGGAATCAAAGCTAAAATATTTGATGCCACTATTGAAAAATATATTAATACCCAAAATCTAATCTACACAGAGAAGATCTCCTTAGGCACTACTCCTAATCCTACTACTAAAAACTTTAAGTTAGACATAGGCAATAAATTTGATGTTTTAGACACGTCATATACTAATCCTCTAACATATACTACTAATATACAAAACAACATTTTAAGCCAAAACAGACAAAATACTCCTTCGACATTTTTATGCAAAATCCGGTATGCATGGAAGGTCACATCCTCCATGTGGCTAACGATAACATTAATAAAAACCCTACCAGCCACTTGGCTTCTCACAATCTCTCCAATTCATCCACCATCCACGGTTTGGATATTAAATAGCTAGTAAATAATTTCATGGCAAACGACATCCCTAATCCTTCAACGGTTATAAGCCTTACGCAAACCCACTCAGAAACCATGCAAATCGATAGTAAATCTTCCATATCTATCTCTCAAGATACTATTACTCAAGTGCCCTACGAAGCCCCTGATTTCATAAACCCCTCACACACTTATAATGCCTCGTCTACCACTACTTCTTCAAAGAAGAACAAACCTTCTCAGACTTCCACGCCTAAATCACCCTCAAATGGACAACCTTCCTCCTCTTCCTCCTCACAACAACCCCCTAATCTACTCAACCACTCCTCTCCCAATGAACCATCAACCTCAATCTTGGTTGGGAAGGGGAATTCTGTGGCATGCGGCATCCTTCAGTCTAGAGATAGAAGGTCGGGAGGTTGCCATAATCCTCCAGAACTCAAACTTCCTAGCCCAGTTGATCATGGAGGGCATGAAACTAGCAATGAACAATTATTTCAACCAAACTTCGCTAACCAACATCTTGGGCCCAATCACCCCAAATGTTTCTCTAGCTTTAATCCAAGCCATGCAGGCCCATTGGGGTCTTCCTGCTCACTTCGACCCGACCTATGGGCATCAACCTCTCGAAAACCTACCTTTTTTTCCACCTCAAAATCATGTGAATCCAATCTTTCTAGCCTGGCAAGTAGCCAACAAAATTCAGCAGGTGAACAATCCTGTGATGCCCCAGAATTAGGAGATCCCTGCTCCAATGGATGTACAACCACCTCCCAACATACAAAACATAGGAAATTCATTACCAAGAGAAGTGGAGGCAGTAGCAAGGTAAGGGAATCTCGAATAGAGTTTAAAAACCTCAGAGAAATAGCAATATTGCTCTACAAGGAGAGGCGAGACAAGAAGTCTATCATCAATTGCCCAGCATCATTATTCAAATGCTCAATGGACATCAGGCTTCCACTAAACCCAGCAGCAGGAAAATATGCGGTGGTGCTCAACCCTTCTCTGAGGGACGGCCCACCTTTACGTTTGGAGGAGAACCAGGGGAATCACAACATGCAGCCTTTACAAATGACTCGTCCAAATTAACTTCATAGTTTAGAAAGTGAGAGGGGCTAACAATGCCAACTTTCGTAGAAATTTTAGGGAAATCATTGATACCCATAGGCCCTGTTTGGTTGCTCTCTTAGAGACTCGTATGCATGATCATGTTGCTATCCAACATGAATTCAACTTCTCTGAAATGATGGAGGTTCCTGCTGATAGCCGTTCTGGAGGAATTGCTATCATGTGGATGCATAACATGATTACAGTAGATAAGGTAGTTAGAGAGGATCAGGAACTGCATGCGATGATCAAGGTACTTCCCAGTCAAAGCCCTTGGCTCTTAAGTACAATCTATGCTAGCACTAATAGTTATAAACGTAATTTAATATGGCATAACCTTAATACCATCTATGATAATTACAAAGTTCCTTGGCTTGTGACAGGCGACTTCAATGATGTATTCTCATCAGATGAAAAATTGGGGGGTGGGGGGGTCGCCCGATCAATTTTAATAGAACCACTAGGCTTTGGAATTTGATTAAAAATTGTAATCTTTTTGACCTAGGATTTAAGGGACCCAAATATACCTGGACTAATTACAGGAAAAGGAGTAATGATCTTATCATGGAACGTCTAGATAGATGCTTTGTAAATGAGGGCTGGATCAATCAATACCCTAATGCAATAGTGGATCACTTGCCTAGAACATATAGTGACCATAACCCACTTCTTATTAGGCTTAACCCTAAATTCATCCCTCCAAACTCTAGGCCATTCTGGCTTGAAACTATATGGTGTTCCCACCTTCAATTTTCCAGTCTTGTGAAAAATTGCTGGTATAATAGAACTTTTGAAGATGCTCTCCCTATTTTTAAACTAGAAGCCTCTAAGTGGAACAAAGAGGTTTTTAGAAACATTTTCAAGAAAAAGAGAAAACTTCTGTCAAGAATTAAAGGCATCCAAAACTCTCATAATTACCCGGAAAATATTTTTCTCCTAAACCTTGAAAATCAGCTTATAAAGAAGTATAATGATCTTCTTAGAATGGAAGAGGATTTTTGGAAACTTAGGTCACGAGTCAATTGGCTCAATAATGGTGAGGCCAACATAAAGTTCTTTCACATTTCGACCTTAATCCGTAGAAGAAATAATAAAATATCTCATTTCAAAAATGAAGATGGAAACTGGATAGATGATCCCTCTGAAATTTCTAATCACGCCCTTAAATATTTCGAAAACATATTTACCACCTCCCTCTTATTTTCTAATAGGGCAGATATCATCAATTCCCCAAAGTCTTTTGATAATCTGGACCTTAACACTCTTGATAGTCCTGTCACCAGCCAGGAAATTTCAAATGCTATTTTCTCTTTCAAACCCATGAAAGCCCTAGGACCGGATGACATCCATCCTTTTTTCTATCAAAAGTTTTGGTCTGTGGTAGGGAACTCTCTTATAAACTATGTAAAAGATATTTTCCATAAGCAAACAATTCCTGAACCTCTTAACTATACTCATCTCTGCCTAATCCCAAAAATGCCCAATGCAAACCTTCTAAAAAGATTTCGTCCAATTGGCCTTTGCAATACTATCTACAAAGTAATTACCAAGATAATTGTTTAACCAAAAATAAGGATTTTGATCAAAGCTTATTTCAAGAAGAACTCGGGTTACTGATAATCAAATAAAAATATGAATAAATGATGTAAAAAATAGTTGAATAGAAAGCAAAGTAAATCTGTGTATGCCAATAATATTTCGTCCCCTTACAAATGATCAGCTTTCCCCTTTTTATAGCTATCTCTAGGTAATACGTTTTGTTTCTGTCATAATAGATCCATTATTGACAATCAATGGCATTTAATGTAACGTTATAAATGGTAATCATATTTTGATTTAGTACAGATTCCCAAACGTTTTCCGTAATTAATGCCTATTGATTATTGACAATACATATCTATACCCTTTTGTGCTACCAGGTTCATTCTCTTAGCTCGACCTTCGGTCATAAAGAGGTTCGAGCATTTATCTTCCTTGAATCTCTTGAATTCCTGCCCGTGCCTGTTATATCTCGTGCCTCTTTATCTATTCTTTGCCAATTGTCATCTTTTGACCAGTCTACGTGTCGTGACATGTCACTTTTCAATCAATTCTATATATGAACTTAATTTTTCTCAATACAGATAGTCCCCCCACTTGCCATTTATTCATCAATAGAATATTTGGGAAGTGGATTTTATTAAAGCTGGAATATTTGCCGCCATTAATTCTTCTTTGGAACTGACGCTTCATTTGCCACTTCCATTTAATATTCACAACACGTGGCATCTCCTGGTTGGTTCTGCAACTTTTCAGCATTTTTAAGGCTTTTTTACGACTTCACCAATTACAAAACGACAGTTCTCATTATGACATTTCCATCATTACACCCTTTCCTTTGACGATTGCTTTTGAGTATAAATATACGTTTTCACCTTTGTCTTTCTCACAAAAAGTTTTAGAACATTCAATTATTGTTTCCTTCTTCCTCGTACTACTATGTCTTCTTCAAACCCTAACCCTAGGAGAGTTCCCATCGTTGACAACCTTCCTCTTGCTCCTGTTAGGAGTAGGAGAGGAGGTAGACTTCGTAGTTTAGGGTCCCCATCATCGCGAGGCACTTCTCTTCCTTCAACAAGTTCTACACCCCCTTCTAGAACTAGAGGTTCTCCTTCTCAAAGGTCTTCATCTAGAGGTAAAGAACCCACTGAACGTCTTCATAAACCTTTGGTAGATGAGATTGTTCCCGCTGAACTATCTTTCTACAATGATAGAGAGTCTATTAGAAACCAAGTTTCTTCTATGTCTTCTTTAGATCGTGCTGATATTTACCCAACTCAGATCACTAAAGGTTTGATTTT